TGTGAAGTTGGGGAAAAGCTTAAAATTTGACTGCAGAGCTCTGTTCTTTCTTTTATTAGACTTCTCCGGACCAAATTCTAGTCTAGGCTTAGGATATTTGAAAATACATCTAATTAAAGTAAATATTGTAAAAGTAATAAAATAGAAAAAATTTCCAGTGAAATCAGGTATTGGTTAGCACAAGGTAATTTAATAATATGTTAAAAGTGGTAACCAAGGCCAGGTGTTTAGCTCAGTGGCGCAAGTGCCTGCTCGGCAAACGCAAAGTCATGAGTTTGAGCTTCGGTACCAAAAAATAAATAAATAAAAGTGATAACCAACTAAAATTTAATGGCATAGCTGGATCCCTAGATATCAGTCTCAAGATGCTCAATTATTAACCCATGTCCCCCCGTCCCCAGGATTTAAATATAAATAGATGAAAGTATAACATTACCTCAGTAACCATTCCTACTGAGATCATATTATTTGGGAATACTACCATGAGAAAAAATATTAAACTTATGTATTATTCTGTATTTTGAAAAAATTCCTTACCAATTTTCTTTTTTTGTACCAGCGCTGAAACTCATTACCTTATGCTTGCCAGGCAAGTGGTTTTGCAACTGAACTAAATCTCCAGCTCCACTAATTCCATTTTTAAAGAGGCAATACTGCCAGGGATTTAGCTCAGCGGTGTAAGGGCCTGCCTGGCAAGCGAGAGGTTGAGAGTTTGATCCCCGGTACCAAAAAAGAAAAAAAAAAAAAAAAAAAAGGCAATATTCCAAATGTGAAACCTAGAATGTGTGTAAGACTGATATACTATTAACTTTCAAATAAGGAGAAGTAGATTATTTACCACTAGAATCTGAAGCTTTGATATTGGACTGTGCAAGAAATATGACTTGGGAAACTGTTTTTAAGTACTGCTGTGTTATTTACTAGTCATGTGACTTGGATTAGACACTTTACTTCTTTGAACTTCAAGTTTCATATTCTTAAAATGAGGAAGTTGGATTTGATAACTTCAACATTTCTTCCAGATACAACATTTCATGTTAGTCAACATTCGGTTCACTTTTTAGGAACAATTAACCAGTACCTGTTATTTGCAAGCACTGTACTAAGTGCCAAGGAAATGAAAAGATAAATACAACAAGCTTCCTGACCTCAAACGTTTAGGATTTTGTGTACAATTAGACTGACTGGATGACATTTGCAGAGTATTTTTGTAGTAATTTTATTATTCCTGCATTATTATTTATAAACAGGTGGGGCAGTGAGTCTCAATTCTCAGCCCATAGCTCACCTATTAACAAAGACCTAAATAAAGTATTTCATATTTTACTTGAAAATAATACTGACAACTGAAATACGTTGAGAAATAACAAAGTTTGTGAATTCTATTTTTTTATGCACAATGTATGAAGGGAGTTCTAAGAGAATAGCAGTGCATGCTGTTCACATTCTAGTATACAATAATAAAGTTTATTACACATGAATCAGTAGTGGCTAGCTAAATCAAATTATGGGTGTATTTTAATTTAGAGGTAAAAGGAAGCCCTTTTCTGTGCAAAATAATGTCTCAGTCCTTTTAACACCATGATCGATAGTATAAAAAAGCCCAAACAGTATCACATATACAAAAATTTAAAATTGTATAAAAATATTTTTTATTCTGTAGGTATAAGTTAGACTAAAAATACAAATGGCCTAAAAAAATCCAAGAGCAGACTGTCTCCTTAGAGTAAGGCTTTCTTATTGGATAATAACAGGCTTATTGGATAAGATGTTTCTTATTAGATCTACCCAACAAGGATTCCCCTGATTCAGAGGTATTTACCCATTTCTGCAGGGCCTAGCTGAGGTTCTCACAGGTCAAAGGATACTAGTAGGGATGTTTTAATTCAGTTCCTTGAGAAGGAACTTTATTCACAGTTCTGAAGTTCTGATTAAATGAAATCATTCATAAATGTTCGCACGATGAAGATATGACTTCTAAAATTTTAAGAATGTAATTTGTGAAACAATGTAATTTATGAACAGTAGGGATGAAGAGTGATGGAACATATTACAAGGAGAGTGCCACAGGCCACAAGAGCTGGTTTGTCCGACCTGTGTTTCCAAATATCCTGATTTTGGAGCAACATTTACGTCCTGATTTGAAATCTCAATTTCAGAATCCTCAAACTCAGAAGTCTCAGCTGTACAAATCTTAAATCTTTTTTGTTACGTGCGGTAGTCGGTGCCACCCACCCTGGGCGGGATCTGGAAAACGCTCGGGCTCCCGCTAGGGCAGGGCCTTAGGAAGAGATTGATGCGCGTGCTTGGGGAGTGGGGGTGTGGGCGTTCCTCCGTGAATAGCTTGGAAGTTTTCCTTTGCCCTTAAGTGATGTGGTTGAGTTGGTTTGAGGTAATCAAAATACAGAGCAGAACTCCTTAAAATGGTGCAAAATTTTGACTTTGGAAACTAGGGTGCAGAATAATTAATCTCAACGCTCTTTGCCAAGTAACAGCGAGTTTGCGGTCTGCACTGCCTCTTCGCATCAGGGGCCTAGGTTTTTCAGGCCAGGTACTGCCTTTCGCAGGTGGTGCCCTGCCCCTGGACTTGCCCAAGTACCAGCCAGAGCCTGGCCGGACCTCGGCCTCGAACGTATAGGGCGCGCAGCCGCGTTGGGCAGACAATGCTTGGAACCTTCGAAGCCCTCTCCACCGCCGCTTGCGACGACGGGGTGGGGGATACTCTAGAAAAGTGCATTTCGAAAAAGCGGGAGAGGGTAACTCCCGGGGAAACAGTATGTGTGTTCCACCAGAGGATTTCGTAGACGTGAAGGCGGAGCGAATTTCCTTTCAGTTTCCAGCAGTGGGAGACCTCTGGTTGAGAGGTCCCAGTTCAAGTTGGACGCAGCCTGGGCTCCTGCAGACAGACTCGCCAAAGCATGTGGGAAAACGGTGCAAGGTTCGGACGCGTCGCTCAGAGCGCCACGGGTGGACTGGCCTCCCCGCTCCGAACAGCGGGATTCTAATTCCCCGAAGTGCGCGTCTCCTCCTCTCACTCCGGACGACACTTCGCGTGCTTTGTTTCAGGCACCAACCCATCTTTCTCGGTTGGTCTCCAGCTCCACCAATCCCGCCCGTTATAGGGCGGGGCTTCAGGGTCAAGGTGGACCAATTCCCCAGCCTCGCCCGTACACGCGCTTTTGGACCCCCGGGGATGACTGACAGCAGCCTGACCCAATCTGCTACTTTAAAGCGTGGCCTCCGCCAGGGGCGTTACACAGACGAGACTCTGGGACCAATCGCATTGCGAGGTGGGGGCGGGGCCTCGCGGCCCGCCTCTAATGGGCACTATCGGCACTCCTTTTGTCAAATCAAAAACGAAGAGGGGAGGCCTCTCAACTGAGGATCAGCCAATGGAAAACGCGAGGTGGGCGGGCCCGGAGTGCCTGGCGGCGGCTCCTCAGCTCCCAGCAGAGGTGCGGTGAGCCGGTGGGGGGACCGCGAGGCAAGCGCGGGATTCCGGGCGGCGAGTGAGCTGCTCGAAAATGCACTCGGATGCTGCAGCTGTCAGTGAGTAGCGGAGCACTGAGGCCCCGGGCTAAGCAGTCGCCGGTACTCTCCACTTGGGTCTCACTGTCCCCGCCCCAAGCCGCCCTATCCCAAAAAGCGCCCGGAGCCCCTGCCCTGGAGCCACCCCTTCCCCTCACGGGGCCGGGGCGGGCGGTGACGCTGCGGGCGGCGTGGGGCGGGGGCGGGCGTGGGGGGAAGGGGCCGGCCTGCGGGGAGGGCGGAGGTGAGGGGGTGGGGACTGGCTCCATTTCAGGGTTGGGGGAAGGGGACCGACGTGCGATGAAGGGCCGGGACCCGAGTGTCCGGGGTGAATGGAGGTGGAGGCGGCGGCGGACGGGCTGGGCCGAGCCGGGCCGGGCCGGGGGTGGCACCGGCGCGGGAAAAGGGGGGGCTTGCGAGCGAGCCGGGCGCAGGGCTGAGGGTTCCGAGGGGCTGAGCTGGGCGGGCGGCTCCGAGAGGAGGGGGGTGAGTGGAGGGGAGCGCGGGGGCGGGGACAATAGGAAGACAGGCTGGATGGCGGGGGTGGGGGGAACAATGGGATGGGGGAACGGGGGCAGCGGCCGAGCGGGCCAGGAGGGCGGGCAAGGGGGTGCGGGCTGATGTAACGGGAGAGCGAGGTAGTGGGAGGCATTGGGGTGCGAGGAAGAGTTAGGGAGTCCGGCGAGCCGGGGGACGTTGGAGGGGTGGTAGGGTGACCCGGAGTGGTAAGGGTCCGGAGGCAGGTGTGGGACGGTGTGGCAAAGGGGAGGACAGGAGGCGGTGTCGAGGATTGGGATGGTCGGATGGGGGCAGGGAAGGTGGGGGGGAGCTACTTGGAGCGGGAGGAAGGGCTAGGGCAACGGGAGGACTGTCAGGTCTAGATTCGGTGCACACGGGGCTGGACTGGGTGGGGGCTCCTCCCCCGATCGGGGCTGGGTCCCTGGAGGGGGAGCCGGGAGCCCAGGGGTGCAGGAGGAGGGGGCGGGGCTGGAAGGACGGGGGAGGTGTCCCGAGGTTGGTTTCGGCAGTAGCTCTTCCCTAGCGAGCGGCGGGAAGCGAGGTCAGCGACGTTGCGGGCTCCGGCTGCGGGACTGGAGGCGGGGCAGGGACGCGGGTGGCCAGGCGCTCCGCAGCGGGAGCCGGAGCGTCTGGGCCCTCGAGGCCGGTGGGAATTTTGTGCAGGAAAGGTGCCGGGGTCCCCGGCGGTCCGTGGGTTTGGCAGTCTGTGACGCAGTTATCTAATTTCTGGCCATCAGGTGTGGAGGCTGATATCTCGGGACTCGATTCCCTGAAGGAAAGGTCCAACCCAAAACCCAGTGCAGCGCCTTCGGGGTGCGACCTCACCCTTGTGTTCAGGGCGGGCACTTTAGGGGTTTCCTTTAGGGTCTGGCTCCGGTCGCCGGGTGTGAAGGGGAAAGGCAGGCAAGCGGAATTCTGGGACTCGTAGTCCGGGGTTGGGTGCACGTGGGTAACTGTGGAGACTAAGTCCCAGAATGCAGCGCGCCTCTCGGCGCTTCCCAGCTCTGAAACTCCAGCTTTATTCCCCAGTTACACGGTGCGCTTGTAGGGCGCTCTGGCTTCTTGGGATTGTAATCAGCTGCCAAGAGAGCCCAAGAGTAGCCCAGCACATTCAAATTTGTGCTCTTGATCTCCGACTTAATTACATTTGTCCCTGCATTTGATGGCCCTACAGAATAAATGCTTAGCCCTGGGCTATCTAGCACTCAGTTTGTGGGAAAATGTTCAGGGAGCAGCACAATCTTTAGCGGCGGATAGGAGGGTGGTGGCGTCCTAGAGTCCATAAACCGGAGCTTGAAAGGTACAGCCTTGTATAGATATGGGAATGCAGAGGGGATAATTGTATTTCTTTTGAAGGTTGTGTAAACTGTGTTGTGGTATTTCCTGGATTTTTGGTTGCCTAAGTATGTGAATGTTTTGAAGTGAATTGAATATAGGAATTGACCATGTAATTTGGAGTTGGAAATTGTCCCATTCATAAGCTGCCATAAAAGTGTTAAAGTGAGCAAAAGGAATATATCAAGTCTTTAGCTTTCAAGTTAGTGTAGAAAGCAAATGAAACTATCCTTTGCATTTTAGCTGTGAACTCTAACTGGTTCCCCATTTAGTATTAGAGAACTTCTTTTCAGCTGGTAGATTTCCTGCCATCACATCCTTTGACAATTCTTTTTACTGTGATAACTCAAATAAGGAGGACTACAAGATTAGCTCAGTAATTATTTTTATATGATACATCAAATACTATGAAAATACTGGTAACAGTCAGTAGAAGGATGTTTTAATGAATCTGGTTACAGATATCTTACCAGGAAGTTCTAAGATTTGGAAACCTTTTGGTATGCTTCCAAATGTACTGTATTTATTTATTCATTTATTTACTTACTTTTGAGAGAGGGTTTCACTGTGCAGTTCAGGTTGGCCTTGAGCTAACTTTGTAGCCCAGGCTGACTTGAACTTGCAGCAATTCTTCTTCCTCAGCCTTCTAAGTGCTGGAATCACAGGCCTGTGCCACTACACCCAGCCACAAATGTGCTGAGTTTAATGATTAATTACATTATTTTTTTTTAAAGACAGTTTCACCGTTTAATTCAGGTTAGCCTCAAACCCATGGCGACCTCCTGTCACAGCCTCCCAAGTGCTGAGATTTCAGGCCCCGCCCGATGATTCTTTTTATATGTATGTCTCAAAAACGAGTCGATTTCTGATGTTTTGGGAAATTACATTTATCCGACTTATTTATGCCTGTGGTGAAAATGTCCAAGAAACTCTTAGTAAATACAAATTGTAATATGGAAATTTTCTTAAAAAAGTACTTTTAATCCTGGAGTTTGCTGTTACAAAGGGTGACATGATAAGGTTGAAAAAAGCAGTAATAGTCTTCAGGATTTAAAGAAAGTATCCCAGTGATGGCAAACCTGTGGCACAGGCTACAGGGGGTTGTTTGTATCATTGAAAGCTCCGAAAGGTTTGCCATCTTTGTTAGGCTAATCATTTCCTTTTCTTTTTGCTGTATTATATCCTGAAGGACAAGTGCCCTTTACACATCGACATAGTGTCCTTCCTGTCCATTTCTCAAAACCCGTGGCTCCTATACAATATCATTTTATACTTTCTGCTCTAGGTTTTAGGATTGGTTTTTTTTTGTCTTCGGAATGGTGCTGTATTTTCTTTGGAACTTAGTTATGCATTTAAACTTGTGTTTCGTATACTTAGCACTTTTGACTGATAGGAAAGATTTTTACTAATTGTGTCTCTTAAGAATGCCGGAGTGATCACAGTTTTTAAGAATTTTCATCAATATTTCATTTTCATTTTCTTCTTCCTGTTTATATCTCCGTTATAGTATTCCCATCTTATCATTATACTAATTTTAAGTAATAATTAATGGCTAGAAATCCTGCTAATAAAAATTAGTCAGAAATTAACCTTTGGATTTATATTTTGTCAGAATTCTTTTGGCAAGTAATAATACTGAGCTAAAAACAGGCGTAAAGAATAGGACTTACTGTTGTCTAGTAGCAGGAAATTTGGAGATTGGTGGTTCTGGTGGTTCTAAGGCCAGTGCAGCATAGTGGCTTAATGATGTCTTAGAACTAAGCCCTTTACATCGTTTCTGCCTTTTAAGTATTGTAGCTTTTGATCCTCAAGGCTTATGCCTGATATTTTCAGTATGTTTACTGTGACACCAGAACAGACATCTGGCCTATGTGAGAAAGCAAAGGAAGATATTTCCTTACAAATGCATCTTAACAGAGGATTTTTTCTAGAAGCTTCCCTTGGAGACTTTTGTTACAGTGTCATTGGATAGAACTGATCTTGTGCCACTGTTAGTTATGAGGGAGACTGGGAAAGTGAGAGCCTGGCATTTTTCAGTTTCTTTTGTAGAATGTGGCCTTCTCTAGGGTGGAAGAGGGGTGAGGAAAATGCTCTGGATGTCAGCCTATAGTTTGAACCAACTGCTTTAGCAGGCTATTTCTAGCTTGGTCTCAGTATTTATTTGTTGATTTATTGTCTGTTTTACTCTAAAAGAATTAGGGGTGACTTATTAATTAATATAGATAAAATCTTACCAAGAAGGAAAGTAAATGACATAGACTCAACAAGGGGAACTAAAATGCTTGCTAAATGTTGGAAATAGACTGTGTATTTGACTCTGGCTTTTTAGTAGTCAAAATGAAGAAACAAACCAGCTACTTTTGTTCATTTGGTTAATGAAGCAGTGACTGTAATAACCCACACTGGAACCTTAGTCCTGTCACCTCTTTTCCTAGTTAATTACATCCCTCCTCACACCTGACCCCCTCCTCCTGGCACCTATTGCCCCACCCAGCCTTCTGTTGTAATATTGTAACCAGAAATCTTTTTGGCAGTCTGAGTGTCCACTGACTTTATCTTGTCCTTCAGCAGTGGAGTCATCTTTGTGTTGAAGGCTTCATCTGCCTACCCAAGAACCTTGGGGTTTGAGAGCTCCCAGTTGTTCACTTAAATATGGAATCCTCAGAACAAGAACTTGGTGAAGCTGAAGGCTTCTGTAATTAAGGCTCAGCTTCTCCTGGGATACCCGTTTGTTCTCTCCACAGTTTGTGCTTGTCCTCAGGTGCCCACTGTGGGATTTCTTTACTAAGTCCCCTCTCTCAAGGGCTGCTTCTGTCGCGTGGCTCTCCAAAGCTTTGCTTGCTTTCATTGCTCAGTTTCAGGTTACAAACTGGCTGCTTGTTTACTTCTCTCCCCAGGTAGATTGTTTACCCTCCCCGCTGAGATCTGGGACTGTGTTACTTCAGGTCCACTTTACTGTCTTGCATGTTGCCTTGCTTAGGTCCCCAAATACTGTATGGATTGAATTGGACTTTAGTGTTCAACACAAATAATTTGGAATTTTACTTCTTCCTGCTGTCACCCAGCATGATTTTTAGGCCTTTTTCATTCCTTTAAATTTTTTTTTAAGGGGCACAAACTTTCTCTTTTTTATTCTTTGCCTTAAATTTTTTTGTAAAATCACCCATATACAAATAAATGCATTTAAGTATTGATATATATATATATGTCACACACAAAATATACATCTTGAAGAAAAATAGTGTGGAGAGATTAAAATGCTAGTGATAGTGTGTCCATTTCTGATCTTGTGGTATGGTCTAAGGCGGGTTGAATGGTTTGTTGCTCAGAGGTCAAGAGTATTTCTGCCTTTTTCTTATGAGTGTGTCCTGATCCTAAGAGTTTATTTCTTAAGTTAATATAATTTAAGAGTAATACTGAGACTGCTGAAAAGCTTTTTTGGGTTAGCAAGTAAAATGTGTAAGTTGGAGGTAAAATTACCTGGAGTGAATCTAGCATTAGTGTGGGTAATGCTATAGTTGGTCAGCCTGAATCGGTGTTAATTGCTTCTCGTAGCTTGTTCTTTTTCTTATTTTGAAATTCAGGTTAGGAGGAGTGCCTCTTGAGAATTATTCTTTTAAGCAGAACATGCTTTTAAGCATATGTTTTAAGAAGACAAAGATTGAAAGACATTTTAAACAGAATTCTGCTTTAATCATTGCATGACAGTTTTGAATTAAGGATCTTTTTCTATAGTGTCCAGGATCCAGCAGCTTATCTGCTACTTAAGGTTTGAATTGCTTTTCTTTTAATTAAGAAAGATTGTTATTGAGTTATTTCTAACTTAGAATGATAGGCTTGTGGCTTTTGAAACCAGTTAATATAGTTTTGAAACCAGAATACTGACTGGTTTCAAAACTAAATGATGTGAACAAGATCCCTGCCCATACCAAGAGCATTACATCTTTAAGAATTTCTTTTCTTAATGATTTTGAAAACCCTTTCATTCTTGCTAGCCTGTATAGGCAGAGCTCCCTAAATCCCCTGCCTCTCCCTCAGGGTGAACTAGAAGGCAGAGGCAGGTGGTGGGAAGAAGGCAGGAGCCCATCGAGGCCCATGGGCAGGGTGGTGGTGGTGGTGACTGTGTTTAGAGCCAACAAGGTCTGTCCATGGGTCCCCTGCCATGTGCCCATAGGTACTTTATTGGTTGAGTAGCTAGCTGCTAGTGTTGGTACTCTGAATTTCTTAAGTCTGTGAATTCGCCAATAATGTCGTTAAATGTATGCGTGCAGACACAAACAGCCTTTCTCTGCTGGAATTTAAGAGTAGATTTCTGATTCTTGGCAACTAAGAATTGAGATACCACAACACCCAGATCGTTCCCTGGTCAGATACATGGTAGAGGCCCTTGTAGAGAAGTTATTTTCCTTTTCACTCTGACTGCCTGTGTCCCTTTTCAGAGGTGACACAAAACATTGAAGGAAGACGTGGTTGATGTCACTTGCAGGTTTTGGAAGCAGCCTTTGCTGTGTTCCAACGGCGTTGTGCACCACACATAACGGCTAGCCCGGTGGATCTCATTAAGTGGAACTCCTTACTGTTACCTTTTCCTGATGACCTCTTACCTTTTCCTGATGACCTCTTTTGTCTCTAAATGTCCAGTTTGGAAGGATATGGTAATAGAAGCTAATGGATAGTTTCTTGCATATTTTTGGATCTGTCTTGGGAATAACTGCTGTGGAAATTTTTTTTTGGTAGAATATGTTTAGTCAAAAATCGTATCTGGTAGTAGCAGTGCATTTCTAGACAATTTTATTATGATAATTTACATATTATAAAGTTACATTCATTTGAAGTACAAGTATGTGTACTGGTGTAAGCTCAATTAAGATATAGAACAGTTTCATTATTCCAGAAAGTTCCTTGTGCCCCTTTGTAGTTTAGGCTTCTCCCCCAGCCCTACCATCAGCTTTTTGGCTTTTAATG